GGTACGAGCCACCTCCATGACCAAGCCGATGCGTCGCTCAACAACCCCATTCTGCTGCAGGGAGTCCGGCAGGGTCAACGTCTGGGTGATGCCCTCCGCACGACAGAAGCGATCAAGGCAGCCAGAAGCGAACTCGCCACCATGGTCAGAGTGAAGACGCAAGACAGGGAGACCTCAGTGAACACGTGCAGAGACAAGCCACGGGAGAAGAACAACAGGTACGTCGACCTTCCACTCCAGTGAAAACACTGTGGTATTGCGTGTGTAGTCGTCGACAAGCACTAGGAAGTAGCGTTCGCAACGCGGCCCATGGACGGGGGCGGGGCCCCAAACGTCCATGTGCAGGCAGCGGTGCAGAGGTGGGGGGGAACGAGGTGGAGTGAGGGGCATGGCGGAGCCGGCCCTCGACGTAGGGCGTGCACAGAGGCACGGGTGAAGAGGGGAGCTCAGTGAACGACTCAGGGAGACCTAGGACAAGATGGTGCTAGGACATGTGACGGAGACGGGTGAGAGCGGGGTGACCTAGACGGTGGTGCCATAGAAGCGACGGGTGAGTAAGCGACCGACACGAGCATGCCGCAGCAACCTAGGAAGACACTGCGACCTAGGGAGGCGTCCCAAGCGGGGGGGATGCGGTTTCAGCGTGAACATGCCAGACACTGGGTCCCGGGGGAACGTGGTGAGGGGGGCTCCAGTGGTGGCCTCAGTACAGACAGCGTACTGCTCGTGCCCAAGGAACGTAGTGGTGACGCCAAGGTCCTGGAGGCAGCCGGCACCAACTAGGTTCCTAGAGAACGAGGGGATGTGCAGGCCTGTAAGGGAGCCCAAGGGAACCGCCGGACAGGGGAGACTAGTGGAGCTACGGGCAACTACAGGACCGGAGGAAGGGTCTGCAAGAGCAACTGCAGCGGGAGCGGCAAGCGCGTAAGTGTTGTGGATTCGCGAAAGAAACACCATGAAGCGCCAGAGTCAAGGGTGAAGGAGAGCGCTGCAGTGGCGACGGAGGTCGGAGAAGCGAGGGAGGACCCAAGGCTAAACAAGGGAGGGGATCCTACGCCTGACGCAGCAGGGGAGCCGGAACTAGGCACACTGGGCACACCTACACTAGGCAACAGAGAGTTATAGGAACCAGTCACACTAAGTCATCAACAAACAGCACATACAAAGCACAGCTAATCTCATCCATGTCCATATCAAAGATCTGAACACCACGACGGACCAGACTATGCCAGTCAGGGAGGTCAGGCGACGGGCCGAAGCGGAGACAAAACAGGTCGTCTTTGCACCGGAAGCAACAAGTGGGGGTATGGCCGATCTTACTGCACACGAGGCCGCGGCGAGGACCGATCTGGAGCTGGTACTGGCAGTGCCCGTCACTCTGACCACCACCCGACGGCATGCCGCGCGCAAGACCACTACAACCACTGTCACCGCCGGCTCCATGCCACCTGGGGGGGAGACGGCCGACCCGCCGCCGTTGCTGCTGCTGCTGCGGCGGCTGCTGCTGCTGCTGCTGCGGGTGCTGTGGCTGCTGCTACTGCTGGTCTAGCGACGGCGCCTGCTGCTGCTGGGACTGCTGCTCCGAGGCACCAGCCCCAGCCCCCTCGTAAGTACTACCAGTGGGCGAGCCACTTCTACCACCGGCACCACCCCCTCCTCCGCTACCTCCGCCGCACCCAGCCTTCGGGCGGCGATCCTTACCCGGACGAAGCTGCACTGCGGCGGCTATCTCCACAGCCGAAGCTCTCTCAACAACCGCAGCAGAACCGTCGGAGTAAGCACACAGAGCAAGGGCACAGCCCTGAAGATAGAGACCGGCACGGTACCGCTAGACCGGGCGATAGAGCGCTGACGAGTCTCTACGGCATACAGGGTGTCAACAAAGTCAGTGAGGGTGAGGTCAGCGGGGTGGAGACTAAGGAAGTGATCGCTGGCGATGGCAAGGCGATCAGGGAGGCGAGTGGCAAGCAGGTAGAGGGTAGAGCAGATGGGGGGCTAAAACGCACGAATTTGGGCCTCAGTGCATCAGCGCGCCAGGTCGTGTCTAGCGTGCGCAGATGGGCGGCTACGTCACCGGCAGTAGGGAAAGTCGCGAGGTCAGGAAAGAGCAAGGGCAGGATGAGACGGCCTACGGATGGAGAGGGCGGGGTAGAATAGCGTGCAACAACAGCCTCTAGGAACTCCTGCGCAGTTGTGACCGACCTAAAGCGGGGGCGCTCGGACAGGGGGAGGGCATGACTAATCGCAAGCTGTGCGACAGCGTCACGCGACAACCAGACTGCACGGGTAAGGGCAGCGGACTCACGGTCAGCAGACGTGGGGTCAACGGGTAGAGCAGCAGGGGGGTCCGGGCAGGGGAGCATACCGTTGATGTGGACGGCCAGGGAGTGGCCATCCTGCCGCTTACCAGTCAGGTGTCGTTGGAGGTCGACGAGCCACGAGTCGAACTCAATCGGCTGCCCCTCCGCATCCAAATGCAGGATCGAGTCCGCCATCATGGTCGCTGCAGCAGCAGAAAGGCGGTGGGCAGTAGGGTGCGGCGAAAGCGGTGATGTGCGGTGCAGTGCTGCATAGTGCGGTAGAGGGAGGTGCAGTACGGAAGAGTGCGGTGCAGGGCGGTGCAATGTGGAGCAGTGCGGTGCAGAGCGGTGGAGTGCGGTGCAGTGCAGTGCAGAGCGGTGCAGAGCGCTGCGGTGCAGTATGGTGCAGTGCGGTGCAGAGCGGTGCAGTGCGGTACCGGGCAGTGCAATGCGGTGCCGGGCAGTGCAGCGCGGTGCAGAGGGCCGAGGAAAGCGGCGAGGCGTCGAGGAGACGGGGCCGTAGGCGGCGAGGCGACGGGGCCGGCTAGGCGTGGAGGTGATGGGGCCGGCTGGACTACGGGGCGGCTAGGCGACAGGGCGAGCAGCGGGACAGGGCGGTGGGGCCTCGGGGCCTGCTAGGCGACGAGGTCGGCTAGGAGGCGCGACCAGCTAGGAGACGGGACCGGCTGGGCGACGAGGCCGGCGAGGCGACGGGGCCGGCTGGGAGGCGGGGTCGGTTTGGAGGCGGGGTCGGCAAGTAGGAGGGGCCGGCTAGGAGACGGGGCCGGCTGGGCGACGGGGCCGGCTGGGCTACGAGGCCAGCGAGGCGACGGGGCCGGCTAGGAGGCGGGGTCGGCCAGGAGGCGGGGCCGTCTGGGCTACGGGGCCAGCTAGACAACGGGACCAGCTAGGCAACGGGGCCGGTCGAACGACGGGGCCGGCTAGGCGACGGGGCCGAATGGGCGACGGGGCTAGCTAGGAGGCGGGACCGGCTAGGAGGCGGGGCCGTCTGAGCTACGGGGCCGGCTAGGACGACGGGGCCGAGGGGGCGGCGGGGCCAGCTATGAGGCGGGGCCGACAGGGCCGTTTGGGCAGCGGGGCCTGCTAGGAGGCGGGGCCGGCTAGGCGACAGGGCGGGCTGGGCTACGGGGCCAGCTAGGCGACAGGGCCGGCTAGGCGACAGGGCTGGCTACGAGACGGGCCGGCACGTGCGGGAGGGGAACGGGGCGGCTAGGACCTAGGGTGGAAGCGTTAGTGGGCGGGGGGGACCTACCTATTCATGATACCATATTGAAGTGAAAGAATGACTAGAATAGTGACATACAAGGGAATATAACCTAATGGGTCGTACTCCCTAAGGCACAACCCCATATAGTATATAACAACATATTAATATATGTTTTACAGTTTGTACTACTTCGAAACTACGCCAGATGTGCAACCTGGATTGGTCACCATTCTTGTCGATGTTCGCCTACCGTATCGATTTGTGTGTTTTAGCTGCGGGTTTTAATACATTCCAAGTCAAACTCTGGCCATGTATTCAGTATTGCACACTTGCAAAAATCAGACTATAAAAATACATGCATGGATGTAATTTAAATGGGCCATACCATTTCGGCTTGACATCTGAAATAATTAAGTTCTTACACACATACATTCCTTTCATAAATGCAAATACCATATTTGTATGGGTTATAATATTTTTGTACATTGAGTATACATCTGAGAAAAGTATTTACATTTATGAGGGTATTTAGTACGGATTATTTACAGAAGGATGCGTTTTCCACAGTACGTTAGGCACCTCCATGTTTGAGTGGGTGTATTGTTGAGTGAATGTTTTGACCCCTCTTGGATTCTTCAGCCAACCAACTGAATGTTTTGAAACAAATTCATTCTCTGGTGCATCTGGACAATTATCCTCGATATTGGGTGAAACATGGAGCTGGGATGGGATGTGGTGTGGTGGCGGTGAGGTGTGCGGTCAGGTCAATCGGTTTCCTGAGGGCGTGGTACGAACGGTTTCGACATCGGTCAGAATGGTACAGTGAGGTTTTTCACGGTTTGTCATATTTCGGTGGGATACTTTGGTGGGACTTCGGACAACGGCCGTTTGGAACTGGTACAACGCCCTAGCTCAGCTGCACCTCCTTCTGCTGGTGCTTGGCCCAGCGAGGGAATGACGAAAAGCTTTCTTTTTTTTTTGTTTCGAATTTCTTCCGTAGTGACATATCCGCGCCCCCCTGCTCGAGCTCGACTCCAATTCCTTTTGGAGGAAACATCCACGAGGGAGAATTCACACTTTCGGACTGCTGTGACACTTACGGGAAGGAAAAACAAATCCCATAGGGTCCCGCATATCATTCGGGTGGCATCAACCCTAAACTCCCACCCGGTTGTGAGACTTTAAGGTTGATGCCACCCGAAATGGCATGCGGTGCCACTAAGGGTTTAATGAGTTTTCAACTGTAACTGTAACAGCGTCCGGAATAAAGCAGAACTGCATGTGTTAAAACAACCTGGCTTGATTTTTCCTCCAGAAGGAATTGGGGTCGTGCTCGAGCAGGGGGGCGCGGATTTGTCACTCCGAAGGGAATTCGAGACAAGAAAGCAATGTTTTTTGTCATTCCCTCTGGCCCAACGCTGGGGCTGGAATGTCGGACAGGAAATGTCAAGAATTGGGAGGTGGTGTATCCCAGTGATGGTGCTTCTCTTGCCTTGCTCTCACCAGCCACGCCATTCACCAAGCTGACTGCTGTTTTTGTTGCGCGCGAACTCAAAGAGCCTTTGGCATGTCGCCTGCGCTATCGCTCACAATTTTCCTCTCGTAGTATCATCGTGGTTTACCCGCCGCACCTCCTCTCTCCTCATCTCGCCTACTCCCTCACCCCATCTCTCCGCCGCGTCTCTCCGCTTCGCATTCCCCACGGCGCATCTTTCGCTCCCCATTCCCTAGCCCGTAGTCCCCTAGTCCCCTACCCGCGACCCCTCCGCCATGTCGTGGTTCCGCTCGGCGCTGAGCATCGGCGCGGAGGCCGCGAATGCGGGTGGCAAGGCGGTGGGGACGGGGTTCGTGCGCGCGAGCTCGTTCGCGTCGTCCGTAGTGCAGCGCGCCGGCGACGCCGTGCTGCTGGCGGGCGACGCCGTGGAGCACGGCGCCAAGATGGTGTACGAGCACGCCGAGCACGCCGTGGTGCGTCCAACCGTACACTGCCCAGGCTGGCAGGGGGAACGGGGGTCGGGGGGAACGGGGGGGTGGGGAGGGGAGAGGGCGTGCTTAGGTGCGACGGTGGTGTGCGAGCACGCTGTGGTGGGTGCGGCCATTGTTGGTTAGCGACGGAGGTCGTTGGAGGGACTTCGGTGATCTCCGCTCCTGAGAGCAGCGCAACGCACATTGTTCTCCACTGCTCTGCCGGCCCTTTTCCGCCATGCGCGCATGTAGTGGATGGGGCGCGAGTTCCCGCGTCCTCATCCACCTCATCCATTTCCCCTTCCTCTCTCCCCCGCCCCCCTCCCCTCCTCCTCTCCTACCCCCGACCGCCCGCCCCCGTCACCCCTCCCAGGGCGGCACGTCCGCGCGGCAGCATAACAGCTTCCGCCACGCGGTGCGGCGCATAGAGGAGGTGGCGATGCTGGCGCGCGGGGCGGAGCGCAAGGAGGCGCTGCTGCGCTGGCTGGGCGCGCTGGCGGACATCAGCGCGGAGAGCGAGCAGGCGGAGCAGGGGGAGAAGGAGCTGGCGGCGCTGCAGCAGCTGGGGATGGGGCTCGCGCTGGGGGGGGACGGCGCGGGGGGGGGTGGGAGCAACGGAGGAGGGGGGAAGGGGAAGAGTGAGTCAGAGGAAGGGGGGGCGGGAGAGGCAGTGGCGGCAGATGAGGGCGCTGGGGAGGCGGGGGAGGTCGCAGAGGAGAGTGCAGCGGTGAACAAGGCCGAGGCGACTGGACCGCCTGCTGCCGCTCATGGTGGTGGCGGGTGGCGGTGGAGGTGGCGGTGCTGCTTGCTGCTGCTGCTGCTGCTGCTGGCAGTGACGGCGGTGTGAGGGAGGGCGTGGCGCCCCCTCCGCGTCACCGCAGCACCACCCTCTGCCCTCCCCGCGCACCCAGGCGAAGATGTCTCGGGTGAGAGGCCCTGCTGTGCGTCACCTGGCATTGTCCTGGTTTGCTGTTCTTGTTGCTCTTGCGCTGAGGCTGCCCTGGCCCCTGCGCCCTGCCTTGCCCCCTGTCCAGTCCCCCCCGGCCCCGATCCTACCCCTGCCCCCCGTCCCCCCCAGGTGTTGTTCCACGACCCCCAACGCGCCCCACCAGGCGCTCACCTTCCGCGATGTCTTTCTCCACAGCCAGGCGCTGGAGAACGTGGTGGCGTCGCTGGTGAGAGCATGGGGGCGTCGCTGGTGAGATGACGGGCAAAATGAGATTGGGGGGGCAGTGGGTGGGAGAGGGGGGGTGGGAGAGGGGGGGGGAATTGGAAGGAAGGGGCGGTGAGGGTTGTATTTTGGGCTGGAACCAAGTACCGCGTAACAAAACAGGCGGATTTCTGAGAGCAGTGTGTCGGAGAAGAGTTGAAAGTGGCCCAATATCACGGCTGCGTGGGCTGCATGCAAGAGCCGTGGCAGGCTGTAGTGTTGCCGCTGGTGCTCATGCTCACATCTCCATGACAGGAACCTCCTTGCTTGGCGCAGCACGTGTGGGTTTCACACCCCCATGCTTAGCGCAGCCCCATGGAACACCGTGCCACCCTATGCCAATGCATGTGCCTGTGCCTGTGCATGTGCCTGTGCTTGTGCATGTGCCTGTGCCTGTGCATGTGCATGTGCCTGTGTCTGTGCATGTGCGTGTGCATGTGCATGTGCATGTGCATGTGCATGTGCATGTGCATGTGCGTGTGCGTATGCATGTACATGTGTATGTGCATACGCGTGTGAATGTGCATATGCGTGTGAATGTGCACGTGCCCGAGCGTGTGTTTGTGCGTGTGCATGCGCATGTGCATGTGAATCTGCTTTTGCATGTGCATGTGTATGTGCATACACATGTGAATATGCATGTGCGTGTGCGTGTGCGTTTGCGTGTGCATGTGTATGTGCATACATGTGTGAATATGCATGTGCATGTGCATGTGCGTCTATGCCCCGCACGGCAGGTAATGGACCCGGGTGATGACGAGGAGTACTGGCTGCTCAGGAACCTCTTCAGGTGCTCTCCTCGCTCTTTGCTTACCCTCCTCCCTTTTGCGCCCCAGAATCCCGGACATAATTCCAGTGAGCGCAGTTAGGAAGGCGGTTTAGCAAGTAGGAAAGACAGTTGTAAAAACGCTATGCTTATGTAACCAAGAGTTTTAGGAAAGCAGGAGCTCTTCTCTTAACAGCGAAGTTAACATGGGGCAAACGTGTTTCGGCTTGTAGGGAAATCCCTAGCGAGCCTTCATCAGTGCCAATGAGAACGTGCGAGCAAAGCAAAGCCCCTAAGTAGAAGGTAAGCATCCAACAAACTGAACTCTAGGTTATCTTCACCCTAGTCAACCCAAAAGTTTCGGGGACCAATCCAGGCCATCCTGGTGAAAAACCGAGGGGGCACATCTTCAATCCTCGAGGGTGTCTTGAAAAGTAGTTGGGCTCGAACCTTCGCCAATGGGCAGCTTCGGAAGCCGAGCGCGCACCAATCGCTTTGATAAGCTACACCCAATCTTCCAAGCAACAAACATTCTCTCTATAAAAATCCATGCGTGAGGAGTATATTTTTGAGGTGCCTCAAAATGACCCCTAGTCGGAGACGAGCAGTCCATGGAGTGAACTCCGCCTTCAGAATAAGGGCCCGCAGGAAGAGAGAGATTACTGTTGCTTGCGTAACTGGTTGGTGGCGATGTTGGCGAGGAGTTCGGGCCGATGAGCGAAGATGACACTCTTGAAGAGTGGGTGCAGAAAAATCGGCGGGTAACCGCGGTCACGAAGTCAATGGAAGAAGGCAAACTTCGTTGCGAGGAAGGTCGTTGCTGAGGTCGAGCGAAGTAGATACCGCTTCAGCTAGTACGAATGAAACCTTCCTTACAGTGACGCAGGTGGATGGAAGGAGGAAAAAGGAAGATAAGTGATACTTGTTCATCGGCTTTTGGAAATTGCCCCTTGAAAAGGACCATGTCGAGGAAATCCGTAGAGCTGTCCGAAACATTCCAAGTGATCCGTATGTTAGGATCGAGCGCGTTGAAGGTAAGCAGGTAGTCCTCCAGTTCTGCCCGCGTCCCTGGCCAGATGATAAGGCCATCGTCGATGTAGCGCACGTGGTAGAGAGGTTTAGTTCCGGTTCATCTTTCTTTCAGCAGCTCGTCCAAACGACTCATGAAAAGAACCGCGAAGCACACACTGACGGGAGTTCCATAGGTGTACCGCGTATCTGCTTGTAGATCTTGCCATCGAACTCCACGTAGGAGTTCCTCATGACCCAACCTAGGAGAGCCATGAGTGGTTGAGCGTGTAGAGGGTCTTCTCTCGGAAGGAAACAGCCGACCGCATCGAGTCCTCGTTCAATGGCGATCCTGGGGTAGAGCGAGGTAACGTCGTAAGTCGCGAGAAGGACATTCGGGGAAACGAAGTCCGTTCCAGCGTAGTCAGCATAGAGAGGGAATCACGGAGGTAAGTAGGTCGCTTAAGGACGAGCGGTCGAAGTTCAGCGTCCAGCCATCTGCTCACATTCGTCGTCACCCAGGAGTGAGGCGGCGATCGGACGCCCCACGGGTTTCCAACTGGGGTTCCGCACCTGAAAGCGCGAAGAGCCAGAAGGTCCCCCTTTATCCTTGAAGAAAAAATGAAGGGAAACCTGTCGATGCAGTTGATCGAGAGCCGCTTCAACAGGAGGGTTCCAGGCAGGAGTAGGAACGAACTTCAAACCCAACCCGAGTGCCTTCCGCTCATCGGATGTAAGAGCTTTGGCACTCAGGTTATGCACCCCGAGGTTACGGACGCGAGACATGGCTTGGCGAACTGTCAAGCGGCCGTACCAACAGAGCGCGAGATCGTGAGCCGTTACT